CTTGTTTTTTCCCTATTTTGAACCACTGTCAAATCAATGCCACTCACAAATGGTCATTTTGTTCCAGAAGTCAATGCAAAACTGGGAATTTGGTCTGTACAAATTTTTTGGAACCATGTGACATATTGAGTGAACTCTGCATGGAAAGAAAGAGCCAATACCTCCAAGGATACCTCTCCCCACTGCGATAATGGTCCTAGATCAGCTAACAATCAAATAATGGACTGGCCAAGACATGGGTTGAGATTTTGTGTCATGGTACCTGCTTTATGGAACACTTCCCTCAGAGCTGAGGCCCTTGCTGGAAATGTTTAGATAGCAGGTAAAGACTTTTTGGGAAGATGACACATCCTTTTGTTCTTTTGTATGTGAATTGTCCTTGGCTATTTTTATTATTCATTGCATAGATTATTAAGATGTAATATGAACTCCCCTTGAGCACCAATTATTAGAACTGTGTTTAAATGAAATTAAAAAATTTAAAAGTGTAATACTATAAGATTTTTCAAGAAAAGCAGCTTTAGGTCACCTGGCACACTATGCATTTAAATTACACACTTCCAAATCCTGGGAACTAGTTTGTTACGGGTGATAGGAACTATACCACTATAAGGGGTAAACTACATTTCCCAGATTCTTCTGGGGGGGTTGACTTAAATGTATGGTGTGCATATTGCTCTGGGGGGTTCTCCAACCCCCCCAATCAATTTCAGGGAGTGAGCTTGGGGGGGGGTGTCCCATAGTGCAAGCGAAGTCCTTGCACAGGGCTTCTGCTGATGGGTCTCCTTGGGTGAATCCTGCCTATCATAATGGAAAATACCAAAGCAGTTCCTTCAAAGTAAAAAAGGAAACATTTCAATGGAAAACATTTATTGTTCAAGAAGTTATTTACAGGAAATTATTTACATGGTAGTTTGTACAGACTGAGAAATTTAAAAAGCTGCTTTTATAAAAAAATATACATTTACAACATATTATACACAAAAACGTTTTATCCCTTTTTCTTTAGAGCTAAACTATTATATAAAACATGCAATATACGACAACACATTAGGCAGCATATATCTTAAAAGGATAATGAAAACATTACCTTTGTACAATATAATATTCTACAGAATATGAACTTCTAATTTAAAAATGGTCCTTCCCATTTCAAGAGTTCTTACCTTTTGGTCTGACTCCACAATTCTCACCGGGGCAAACAAGCATAAAAGCCACATACTGCATGCACTTCAGTACACCAGCACACCCATTCGTTTGAATGAAGGAAACAGCTCCTTCCATTGGATCAGACCCACACTATTTTATCTGTGTTTTACAAATGCAAATGAAGTTTCATTCATGTATGTTTTTCCAGTTGGAGCAGAAGAAAGGGAAACATCCTCATTCATTTCACTATTCCTAGACACACAGATTATTATTTTAACCATTACCCCAGAAGTCACTCTGTTTTTTGTGCGCTCATTTTTTGCTGGGGGGGGGGGGAGAGAAACAGGTAAAGCAGATTAGAAGCAGCCTCTTTAGTTGGGCCACATGCTGCAAACAAATTGTAAATGACAAATAGCAATTTCCATGTTCCCTTGAGGCTCTTCATATATATAGCTAAAGGACTGATGCTTACTTGACAGAACAATCTCTTAAAGAAATATCACTTCCCTATATCAAAATGTGTTCAGCATAAGCGACCAAGGCTTAAGTATCTTGTGGCATGTACATGTAGCAAATAAAGCACACACACTCCCAATGCCATTTCTACACAGAAGTGATGCAGGGATATAAAACAGCTGCATGTGAAACATATTTGCCTTCCCCAAACTTACATATTGTTCATTTGTCAACTTGCTAGTACAAGATGTCAGTTAAATAAAGACTAAGGCTGTGCACACACATTATAGTTTATTCTGCATCGAGTGTGCTCCTACTGCTAGTTTTTGAAGCCACATTGCCCACAATCCTTATCTATCCTGTAGCTGATTAAGCAATGCTGTGCTTTGACACATTTTCCCCAAAACCAGCTTTGAACAGAGTACTTTCCATCAGCTACGGCAGGTGGTCCAGCCATGCCCTTATATGGACAGGGATAGCCTAATTACTATCCTCAATGCTCTGGTAACTTCTAGGTTAGATTACTGCCATGTGTTATACTTGGGATTGCCTCTAATGATGGTTTGGAAACATCAGCTGGTGCAGAATTCAGCGGCCAGGTTGCTCACTATGGCAACATGATTTGAGCATATACCGCCAATCCTGGCCCAACTACACTGGCTGCCAATTAGTTTCCTAGCCCAATTCAAAGTGCTGGTTTTGACCTATAAAGCTCAGGACCACAATATCTCAAGGATCACCTCTCCTCTTATGAACCAACCCCAACCCTGCGATTATCATCCAAGGCCCTTCCTTGTGTGCCTCATTCATGAGAGGTCTAGAGCAGTGTTTCCCAACCTTGTGCCTCCAGCTGTTTTTGAACTACAACTCCCATCATCCCTGACTAGCAAGACCAGTGGCAAGGGATGATGGGAATTGTAGTCCAAAAACAGCTGGAGGCACAAGGTTGGGAAACACTGGTCTAGAGGGTGGCAATTCAAGAATGGGCCTTTTTTGCAGTGGCTCCCCACTTATGGAATGCTGTTCCCTGCGAGGCTTACCTCAGGGGTTGGCAAACTAAGGTCCGCGGGCTGAATCCGGCCCAATTGCCTTCAGGATCTGGCCCACAGATGGTCTATGGATCAGCGAGGGCTATGGGGATTCTGTTCATTGTTTTAATGCACCACCATTTTCCCCTGCACCATTCCCCCCCCCCCAAGCAACAGCTATGGACTTGCCCTGCGGCCTGCTGAGGGCTGCCACGCTACAGCCACCACCCTGCCTGTGGGAGCCCTGGGGAAAGAATGCAAGGAGCTGCTGAACTACGATGTGAGCTCCAGCCATGCGGAAGGGGCTGGGCGCGTAGTGAAGTGGCAAAGCTGGAGGGTGGCTGCAACGAGTCTCGGCCTGGCGGGCCAGCATCCAGTGGACCTGAGCACAGCCCGCCGCCAGAGGTGGCGCCCGGCGAGAGTCCTTGAGGCCAAAGAGCCAGGGAAGGGCTCCTGCTTCCCCTTCCTTGGAGAGGGGGAAGGGGCCAGGGGTGCTCAGATCTCGGGTCTGGGAAGGTAAGCGCAGTGGCTGGGGATGGGGAGGAGGACTACTTGCCCCCCTCGCCTCTTCTTCCAGCTCCCCTCCCCCTGTGCTGCTTCTCCGGCCTGCCACAAGGTCTGAGGGACAGTGGACTGGCCTGCGACTAAATAAATTTGCCGACCCCTGGCTCACCTGGTACCTTTGTTACGTATCTTTAGGCACCAAGCAAAAACATTCCTCTTCTCCCAGGCCTTTGGCTAACTAAACAATCTATGGCCTTTAAAACTTTGGGGGAGGGGGGTTACTGTTTTTGTTTGGTACAATACTTTTTGTGTTTTTATATTGTAAACTACCCTGTGATTTTTCGGATGAAGGGCAATATAGAAATTTAATATGAACAAACATTTTTCCTCCATGACTGAATCACTAACTTAGCAGCTTATAATGCACAGAATGGCATTTTCTCCTCACACTGCAAACATTTATTGCAGTTGTGTGTGTGTGTGTGTGTGTGTGTGTGTGAGGGGGGAATCACTTGATCATTGTGTTGAGCAATCACATACAGAGCAGGGAGGATTTTAAAGCAGCTTATAACCAGAATGCCATTTCATGTGCAGAGGCTATATGATTAGCCTATAATTTTCAGTGCCATATGGAATTGAGCAGGTGTCTATGATGCACCTGACCAACAATTTCTGGGATCATTTAGAACCTCTCAGAGAAAGCTACAAGGTTTTCATTCCTTTCTCTCCAAGGCAAGAACTTCTCCCCCTATTAGGCAAATTTAAGGGTCTGAGAAGAGCATTGTTCATAAGCATCATGGAGCAAAGTGGCAGATTCATGCTCTTGTAAACAAAAGGGCACAAACTACAGAAGAAAGCCGTATATGAAAACATTTAGTAGCAATTGCCAGACATATGACCCAGAATGCCTTCAGCATTGCCAATGATCACTTTAGAAGCCTCTTAGCAAAAACTAAAAATAAAAGAGTTGGCCTCAAACAGGTAATGTCCCCATTTCAAACTTCAATAATTTTATATTAACTTAAAATAAGTTTTAACTTTAAACTGTGTTCGTCAAACCTATGTGGTGGTTTCTCAAATGTGTCCGGACACTTTTCTCACACAAATCTTTGAAGTAAATGTACCAATCTGATTTGCATAGAATAAGGAAGAAAACCTGCAGTTTGTTATATGTTGGGAGCTTTCTCCAGCTTGCCCCATATTCTTATATCTCCAGCTTTTGTAGTAGACAGAAAATTAACTATTTCACATATTTTTTGCTTGTTACCTCTTCACTTGTTCACCTTCATTAATCTGAATGGAAGAGGAATGCACTTGCCTCAGGAGCCATGCAAAAAGCCATTTTTTCCAATATTGTGGCCCCTATTCATTGTCTCTGCGCCTTCAGTCACAACTGAGTGCTAGTTTGGAAAATCTGGAGTTCTACAAAGCATTTCTTTCAGAACCAGTTTGAGTCTCATGTTTGATCGGCAGCACAAGTACAGAATACGCAGTTTTAAGGCTGCAATCTAGTCAAGCTCATAAGGAAAGAACCATATAGCATTGAGGCTTCAAAATCTCTCAACTACCCACAGTAGCAGTAAACATGAGGCCTGAAGTAGCATCATATTTTTATGGAGAAGAAGCTGTATGTGCTTGTTGGATCTGGATCCACATTTCTCTTATTTGCTATAGGGTTGCAATCAATGTGTCTACTCTAAGCATGACTAAGTCAGGATGTAACCCATTGTGTGCAATTATGCAAGAATTTGGATAAAATGCTTAAAAACAATGCCTTAAAATATTAGGCTTAAACGTATTGGGGGGGAAGGCTTAAGAAAATTGACTTATCCATGCAAATGGATAATAAACTTCAAACATAACTAATTTTAAAAATCCGTTTAATTATACCGAGAGCTGATTGCTTGGTTATACTACAATACAACAAAAATATGCAAGCTTCAAGTAAAAATAAGTTTATCATACTGAAACAAAATATAGCAAAGTGCAAAACTGAAGAGGAAACACTACTGCTTTCCTCAGATTTAATCAAGAAAAATATATTTAAAACGCTATATTACAGATAAATACAATGAATACTTAACCACCTCTTTGGTCCATATGTTCATAAATTAAGCCAACATAATGTTACCTGTGGTTTTGAATAATGAAAAGTTTTCTAAAATGTCATTGCTAAATATGTTAAGAGATCAGTTCATGAAACTTAAGCTGCCTTAAAAATAAAAAACCTGCAGATTATCTGGAATTAAAAAAAAATACGAAATTTTCAACTGCTCTCAAACAGTAATTCAGTTCATGGTCAAATACTGGTATTGCATAAGCTTTACACTGGATTCTTTTTAGAATGCTTCCAAGTAGCATGTTCAATCACTTCCTCAGATAAATTTTTGAATATTGGTGTAGATTTCCTTCATTTCCTGTAGCAGCTGAAGGTATTATTTTAATTCTATTCATACAAAGGGCATTTCATCCTTAAGTAAAGCACACCACTCTAAACTTGCATGAAAGAAGAAACCCACCCTTTTTAGCATATGAAAAAATGGCCCTAGTAACATTACTCCTTACACATTACTTTCAAAACTGAATACAGAATATTGCTATCAGAAACTTTCATTTGTTATTTCATTGTTTTTTTAAAATATAAATTGGTTTTAAAATGCAATAAACAACTAACTCTGCAATCGCTTCAAAATACAAATGTTATGTATTCTATTCAAAGGCATAGTGCCATACTTGTCCTTGGCTAAAGCACATCCTTTTAGTATTCATTACCAAACAGAGACTGAAAGAGAAGATTTTATTTACCATTTTTGATAGAAAAAGTGTCATTTTATACATTGATCTACCGTAAAACACAACTCATTAGCTGAGTTCAAAGAGTCATGATCTACGATTGCTTCCTGTTACAAAGCAGTTCTGGGCAGACCCTTTTCTAGATGGCCACTCAGAACCTGCTGTATTGTTGCTGCCCAATGAACGTGTTGCAATATTTAACAAAGTGCATATCTAGCCTTTAAGTTATTCCTAACCTAACCTTAATACTGATGGGATTTGTTTCTCATGAAAAGTGTAAGTTTTGTCAGAATGAGGCAACCACAAACAACATAGGAAGCATCTGAGCCTCCAGTACAGAAATACATTTCTTCATATAGCCCTAAAGTCAATCGACTTAGAAATTTACATATATAGTCTTCATAACTACTTCAGTACTGGGGCCTGAGAAGTGTTTGCTTTGCAGCTTCATTACACCAATACACATAACACTAGACATCAGACAACTTCACATACAACGTTCACAACAGCATCACATACAGCATGTTCTGATGCTCAATAAAATATGAAACCAATATGGAGTTTTATAACTCCAAAGGCTTGAAGATACAGTGCTTAATATTTAAGTCAATAAAAATTATAATTAAAAAACAAAAACTTTTCTGCATTGACTTGAACTGGGGCAGGTAGCACTAGTGATTTCTCCAAGTTTTTTCCTATTATTCATTTTAACACCACTACCACAAGCTATCATCAAATGCAAGCTAATGGCAGAGACAAAACAGGAGTAAGTTGACAATGGACTAGAAAATTCCTTCTAACATATACTCAAGGCACTATAAATTAAAATAGCATTTTATACTAGTGTAGGTTTTGAATGTGCCTTGGCATTTAAATTAAATTACCTGAAACAAAGAACAAAATATATCAATGTTTCTTTAAATACCTCCTAGTATTAATGCTATTTCCTTTCCCCTATGACTTTGATTTAGAGTCTTGGGTGAGCACAAAGCTTCCATCTTTCGGTATGGCAAACAAAAGTCTGCAATAACACAACCGTGAAGAAGCTCCAGTTATACATAGGTCCTTGTAGGATAGCAGCCTATCACTACAACTATAAGAATGAAGACATAATAATAATGAATGTCTTAAGTGTTATCTCTAGACCAAAGTAGGCAAAATAGCCTCTAGTGATAATTTATTAGTATATACAACTACAAATTGTGATTTTGCCACAATATTTAGAAAGGTTGTGGAACAAAGCACTGTGCTGTCAAAGTGTTATTGCTGCAGTTATGATTTCTGTAGGCATTAACTTCTGCTGTCATGACAACCTGTGGTCATACACCCAGAAGGAAGGTAGAGACATGTACAGACTGCCAATTTTGAACAGAAAACTAAGGGCTAATTCACACATTGCACTCTGAGTGAAGGAATACATAGAATCAAGCCCTACTATCACCTGTATTAGAGCAGCCAAAAGTAGTAGAAAAGGCAATGTCAGCTAAAGTCGTCCTCTCTTACTGCATATGCCTTGTTTTTCCCAAGTTCCCAGCAAAGGGATTCTTGGCTATTGCCACTCTACTTAGAGAAGAGCACCAGCAGCAGAGTGACCGAGGTGCTGTTGAAAAAGGTGCAGTGGTTGAGCAGCGACAACATCTAGCAATTTCTGGTAAATGCAGAATTGGGTTCTCCAGCCACTGCCACCTGCACTGGTTTCCAGAAGTAGGGAGCCTGCTCCCTTCTTTCAGCTCCTAATACAGGCATGTTTGTGCATGCTGATTACATGTGCATACTCACTGAAAGGACAGTGTGTGAATCAGCCCAAAGATACAATTAATTCATTCCTTCCCAATACTTACATTTAGATAGTGCCTTGTAGTTTCTCTCTATTCACTTTATAACATGTTACAGTAAAGACATTACAGTCACACCACCGCTGCTGCTCTTGCTAAAACAACACACACAGAACAGGTCTACTGGAAGCTAAGCATATGAAAGTCACATATAATCATCCCCAAATTATCTCAAGGTTGGGAAATAGGAAGATTTTTAATTCTCTCCCTTTTGATACTGATAATCTACTAGAATAAACATTTGTTCAGAATCCTGGCATAATCACATAGAAAAACTGCATTTTTATTTCCCCATCTATCTTTGACTTACTTTAGATTAGACCATACTGTAAACACATACTTTTCAAGACTTGTGGCTCTTCCTGGTCTTAAAATAGCGTTACTGAATGTTTCAACAATCAAGGTCAAAGCAAATATATTTTCGGAATAATGTAGGATTCCTTTTGTAACCTTTTTTAGACATCTGACCCATACAGCCTTTGTTCCAATCCGTAACCATGAATTTGGGACATACCATAACTTGATAAAATAGCAAAAGCATAACATAATGTTACTGAAAGGCTGCTTTTAGTGAATGTGACATATCCTAATTAAATCCTTTCGTAAGGAGCTCCTATATTGGATCAATCACATTCATGTCCTTACCAGACTGTTGTTTCAGTCACTAAATCCCGGCAATGCTAATAAATTCAATACTCAAGCAGCTTTCTTCTCCACAGGCTTGATAAATTTCTGCATTGAGATGGAGTTAGTTATTACAATAATAAACAAGTGCCTTGTTAGTATTCCTGAAATTTTTTTGAACTATGTTTGCTGCACTCAAATACTACACATTTAAATGGTCACACTATCAATATTTTTTAAAAAACAAAAACAAATCAACTTTGCATTTGGCACATTTATGATCCATTCTTCAGAAATGCCCATGTATTTCCCCCAATACTGTTACGAACAATGATCACATCACCATTTGCCCGATTAGCAGCTTCACAAGGTGCTTTATCTTGCAGCTTCTCCTAAATTGATCACACCTTGCCTGTTACAGAGGCACATTAGGTGCAGTGCAGTAGTGTGTCATTTTTGGACTCTAGAGGGAACTCCTTTCTAAAAGGGCGGAACCTCTAGGTTTGAAGTCTACATACCAAATATTTCTCCTTGCAATTCAAAACCAGCAGCTACTGGAACAACTTCTGGGAAGCTTCACTGCAGACCATTTCCTTTTAGAAACCAAGTTTTCACAGAAGTTTCAAAGTGTAGCAAGAATTCTCGAGAAGGATATAATTAGTGTCAGTACAGTCTGGCCAATTCCAAACACCAGTGCTTGTAAAGGAGCCATGCTTTTTCCAGCAACTCTGAAAATTCCAGCTACTGCTGCACCTAGAGAATCACAAGGAAGGGGAGAAATATGAAGTTACCACAAAAAAATAGTAAAAGTTTTTTATTTTAAGACATTTTAGGACCAAAATTTTCAAATGTTACTTTTTAATTACATTCGGCCTGATCCCGCTAATATTAAGGACTTGTAAGTCCCATTGAACTGAATGGGAGATAAGTATGTTTAACTCTCACATTCAAATTAATGGGTCTTGAAAGCGCTTATCTTTAGCTAGATTGTGTCCAATATTTTGTTGTAAGCCTGACCAGGGGGCTATATAAATGTCACAGATAAATAATAATCAAATAAACCAGTAGTTTACATGTCCTATCCAAATGCTAGTATTTGCAAGGCTGACACACTGTGAAGCTTTAAGTTAAGTCAATAATGTGTTGGACTTTCCTAAGAGAGAACCCACTTCTACAATGAACATTGAGGGTGCAGTATCAATAAATTTATAAAAAAATTGTCCAGTAGGACCTTAGAAACCAAATAAGTTTGCTCTGGGTATAAGTTTTCGTGTGCATGCACACTTCTTCGGATGCATGCACACGAAAACTTATACCAAGAACAAACTTAGTTGGTCTCTAAGGTGCTACTGGACATTTTTTTTTTATTTTGACTGCGTCAGACCAACACGGCTACCTACCTGAATAAATTTATATATACCCTGAACCACCAGAAACAGACATTAATCCCCTTGCAGTGGAGGTAAAACACAGCCATCATGGTTAGTAGCCATTGATCACATCCTCCTCAAAATTTATTCTAACTAGAGATGGGAATGCCATGGGGGGGAACCCCAGGAAATTATATATTTTTTCTCCTGTTTTTTCTTCCAGATGACACTTTGGGTTTGAAGGGGCAAAAAGGAAGAATAACATTTAGTGGGGCAACACCAGAGGGGAAAACTACAGAATATATTTTAATTTTATAGTAAGTGAAATGACAAGGGTGTTTTTCACTCAACACATGCATGAAAATTTTTATGCAAGGCATTAAAGAATGCTAATTTGTGTATACTGTAGTCATATACCACATTCAAATCCAAGATGTGTTTCTGCACCTAGGGTTCAGTATTTTCAGTGTTGTATAAAGTTACGCTTTGTATTTAAATATGCTGCTATCCTTTAATATTGTCCAAATGACACACAATTGTTTTAGCAAACCAAACAGTGTTTCTGTTTTCAACTCCCTGCACCCTTCCCAAACAGGGGAAAAAGCACACTATTATATATTTGCTTAGTATAAGGTGCAGCTCTAATATTGGGTAAATTTTATGTTTTATTTGTAAAAATGGAATGCCTTTATACTTTCTAGTCTAATTCTTTGTGTGCTTAAAGGTAAAGGTACCCCTGCCCGTACGGGCCAGTCGTGTCTGACTCTAGGGTTGTGCGCCCTTCTCCCTTAAGAGGCCGGGGGCCAGCACTGTCCGGAGACACTTCCGGGTCACATGGCCAGCGTGACGAAGCTGCTCTGACGAGCCAGCACCAGCGCAGCACACGGAAACGCCGTTTACCTTCCCGCTATAAAGCGGTACCTATTTATCTACTTGCACTTAGGGGTGCTTTCGAACTGCTAGGTGGGCAGGAGCTGGGACCGAAAGACGGGAGCTCACCCCGCCGCGGGGATTCGAACCACCGACCATACGATCAGCAAGTCCTAGGCACTGAGGTTTTACCCACAGCGCCACCCGCGTCCCCATTGTTTGCTTACCAGGGAGTAAAGTCCGGTAAACGTAAACATGCTCTGCAACTGCCATAAATATGCCAAGTTTTACAACGGTAACTAAGTTAAAAATGATGCATTTTATATTGTTTAAAAAGTAAATTAACTTTGTTTGATAATATATTCCAATTTTCTCCAACATCCCCCCCCCTCAAATGTATGCCTTTTTCTCAAGGTTTCAACATTTCTGGAAATTTTAGATGTTTAATTCTGTCAAACATTAAGCACTCACATAATGTTAGACCATGGTTTGTTTAACAAACCAGGAGCCAACAACAAATTGATCTGCAGATAACCATAATAAAAATTATTTAAAAAAAATAAAAAAAATGATCTGCAGAATACCAAACAAACCATGATTTGATTTGTGAAAGCTTTGTTGTTTTCCAGAGGCTCTTGTCTCAAGCCTTTTGTAACTTAATGGGAGTCTGAGCTGGGTGGCCAGTCAAATCATAGGTTGAGAAGGATTTAGGTAACACCAAGCCATAGTTAAGACAAACAAAAGATTGTAAGTGAACTTAAGCCATGCCTTAGAACAGAATTAGTTGGCAATTAACAAACTATAGTTAACCTCCTAAATTCAGGGTTCAAAGAATCAAACAAAACATGATTTAAATAAATCACAATTTCATAAACCACAGATTAGCATTATGTGCTAACCCGGATTTAAGTTTCCACAGCTATCTGTTAACAAGCTCCAAACAACATCTGACAGAGGAGTTAAGTGCTGCAGATTTAAAAAGCTCGTTTTAGAATATCACCCTGCCCCACCCTGGGAAGAAGAAGTGACACTACTACTGGGAGGCTGGCTCTGTGGTAGCACCCTGCTTCTCTTCCTCCTAAAGCTGAGACATATGAAAAATCATGGCTGCCAGTTTTATATGGCCCTTCCCTCAGCCACTGAACAACCCCAACAGCTGTAAGCCTCACAGAACTCCAGTGTAATGAACCAAAAATCATTTATTACAATAGCTAAAAAATAATCTTCAAAAAGAAGTATTTGAACATTTTAAGACTTACTGGTTATCATAGCTCCAGTTACAGAACCCAGAAATCCAATGCTGACTGCAATGATAGAGATTACTCTCCCTTGTCTATGCCTCTGCAGCATCACAAACATTAAAACTCCTGCAGCACCGTGGACAAAGAGAGAGGAGAAGAGAGCCCAGAGGAAAACCCAGTACCACATTTCTGGAAGAAAGCAATCAAAGAGCGGGTTAACGTTTGAGAAAAAATGATTAAATCAAAGAGAAAAAATCCTTGCATATTTTGAGGAATTATAAAGAGATACAAAAGCATGCAGACAGAATACTTATTTAATAACTTTATTCTACTTTCTATAATGCTGTCCACTGCCCATTTCTCTGCACACTTAAGGTCCCCCTATTAACAAACTATTTTGAGCAAATATTAAACGCTCCAATTTTTTAATCTATGTTATACTTATAAACAATTTCTGACAGCTAGCCAAAACAAATTACCTTAGAGGGAGCAATAAGTAAATACTAATCCCTTCTGAAATTTTACTGGTCGTTCACCTTTAAACATGTCAGCATCTCTAAAAGTAGCAAGTTGCCAAACTAAGGGCTTTTTTTCTGATGTTGCCAAGAATATTTAAGTTATGAATACATTGCTTCCAATTGTTATCAAAGTGGAAACAATATTTAAACCCTGAAGAATGAATGCTACATAGCAGCTATTCAGACCAACTTGAAATTGTGAGGAAATTCCAACAATAGTTTTTATCACTGAATGTCCTAAATAACCAAATTTATCTTTCTAGGACATATTGTACACATGCTGGATAAAAATAGATTTTGTCCTTTAGTGTTAAATGCAACTAGCACTGAGAAAAAGTGTCAAAGTTGTGAAACCATGAAAGCAGAAACTAGCTAATTGAGGGAGAACTGATTCTCAAGCAGTGCATGCTCTCAAAAGGAGACAGAATTAGCTGTATAAAAGGCAGAAATCTTTCACCAAAGGAAACAATTCATAAAACTATGTATTGCATCACACAGAGACTAAAGTTAGCCAAAGGCTGCTTTAACAAAACTTACTTCAGATCACACAGATAGCTCTCAAATTTAAGTATTATATTATACTGCATGTATCGATTTCTATTCCATTATGAACTGCCCTGAGGTCTGTAGATGAAGGGTGGTCTACAAATAATAATAATAGTTTATACTATGTCTGGTTTATTTAAAAGTAGTCTAAATATATCCCTCATATCTCTTCATTCAAAGAACATTAAAAAATAAATAATGTAAAACACACCAAACAAAAACAACATATTTGCTGAATGCTTCCTTGGCAATCAGGCAGGGAAACTTTCCGAAAATTTTGTTCCCCCTCTTTTAGTTGTTTAGGATACAATTAACAGATAAAATGTAAACTAGCACTAAAAATTTGCAGTTATTTCCAAGAGAGAACCATGGAGGGTTAGCTAGAAGTACTGTATACGAAAACTGTTAACAAGTGTTCACCTTTGTGAGCTGGAGCCATAGAAGCTGAAATCCTCAGGTCCCGAGACCCAGTGTGGTATAGTGGTCAGAGTTTTGGACTAGGGCCGGTGAGACCAGGATTCAAATATGCAATCAGCCATGAAACTCACTGGGTGACCTTGGGCCAGTCACTGCCTCTCAGCTAACCTACCCCATAGGGTTGTTGGGGGAATTAAATGATGAACTTGAACTTGAACTTCTTGAGAAAAATGCTGGGATACAAATGCAATAAGTAAGTAAAGGTGAATCATGAGATTTAATTTAGAAATTAAATGGTACCCACTGAATCCTTTATAATCCTGACCATGTTGCAGGCTGCTGTGGCTGCAGCATGCACTGCCAGTCTTCATATGTCCAGACTAGTTGATTGGACAAGAAAATAGAAGACAATTTCTAATAGAGTATTTGCATGTTGACAGCAACAAAGAGCCTTTTGGCATCTTAAAGCTAAAAAAAATTATAACATAAGATTTTGTGAACTAGCATCCACATATCAAATGGAATGGAAAATGAGAGTCAGGATGCAAGTATGTACTAGGGCAAAGAACATGTGAAGTTCATATATATGCTAATGGAATCTAAATTGGCTATAGCCACACAAAATAGATATTAGAACTGTAGTGGAAAGCTCAGTTTGTGTGCCAAGGTAGGAAAACAGGACAATTCATCAAAATAAATTAAAATTGAAGTAAGTATGTTGTGTACCATTTATGAACAGACAATATGTTATTTTATTTAACAAAGTGTATACATTGCTTCCTAGATAGAAGACTTCTAAGTAGTTTAAAGGAAAAAACCCAAAACCTTCATTAAAAAATGATAAAGGCAAAAAAAAAAAAAGTTAACATATGTTTAAAAATATTAATCAAACCAGTAATTTTAAAATAATATACATAATAAAATTACATGTTTGGGTAGGTTTGCTGAAGCAAAAAGTTTTCAGCAGGCACCAAAATAATAGTGAAATGCCTAATATAAATGAACAGGGAGTTCCAAAGACTATGCACTGCCTGATGTTGTAGTTAGTAGTGTACTGCACCAGTAAAAAGAATGACACATTTTGGTTGTATACACACTTTCACCTGAACACCACATCTAATCCATTGTTTTTTGATCAGGGCCACTGTATTCTGTGAAACAGTACTAGAATCAGGTATCCAATACTTATGTTTGCTAGTTTCCATAAGTGAATCTTCTTTTTACTAAGAAAAATGCTTCAGATATGATTTATTATGCAGGCAAATAAATATCTGTGTCCGATGGAGTGCTGAATAGCTAGATGCATAAAACTTATACAGCACTTTTACTAAGTGCTCAAAGAGCTTCACATAAATTAGATCAGTAATCATCCTAACTGCACTACCAGAAAGACTGGTATGATTACAGATGGGGAGCTCAATCTGAGAATGTAAGAACAGCCCTGCTGGATAAGACCATGAATCACATTACTGTGAGCATCCCAATCAGATGCTTTCAAAAAGCCTACAAAGAGGGAATGAGGGCCACAAGCTCTTCTTCACTGTTTGTGGCAGTCGGAGGCATCCTGCCTCTGAACCCTGAGGTTCCACATTTAAATATCATTGCTCATTGTTGATGGACCTATCCTCCAGAAATCTGCCTAATCCCTTTGGCCAGCGGCCATCAACACATCTTATGGCAGTGAATTTCATGTAATTATGCACTGCATCCATCAATCTACAACTCTAAAGGGTTCCCATTCTGTATACCTTTGACCATGCCATCCACATAGCCTTTTACACTGCAGAATTTAGAAGAGAAAATTGTTTATATGGTTCGCTCTATGAATGTGCAAAGACACTAGGTAAAATCACTTAGGTTTACAGTTTTGGGATTATAGCCAACTCTGTACAAGCTGACTTCTGCTCACACAGAATCTCCTATGCTTTCCCCACTCCTTAAATCTGGAACAGATTTGAGGGTGCACTGGGAGCTGTAGGACAGAAGAGGAAGCCCCACCATGCAGGTTAGAGTTTGTTCTGCTTGTGTAGCAGTGAATGCAATTCTTAGCCTACAACTGTGAAACACTTCTTTTGAAGTCAGTCCCATTTAACAAAATAGGATTTACTTCTGAGTCAACAGAAAAGTCAACTACCAAGCAAGGCTTGGTAGTTACTGTGCAAGGCAGTGTTTCTTTACAAGATGAAGAGCAAATGTTCATGCTCTTATAACTTCATAATTTTAACTGAACACATTAGCAGTCTGGGTATGAAAGTCACTGCCATGAAATAGGAGCAAAAAAATGTAGCTTTTCTAGATGAAGAAGCATAGCAAGAGGAATGTCACCAAATTGACATTAAGCAATTAATGATTAAATCAGCATACATTTTAGTATGAATTAAACAATAGTTGTGAAGAAATATATATTAATATTTTTGATGACACATATATGCACTGGAATCTTAAAACAGGCTTTCACTTGCTGTGTAACAAAACAGGGTGTACACATCTTCGAAAGCTATGCTTGTCAACTAGAGTTTAAGTGCTTGTATTAAAAATAATGTATATTTTTACAAAGTCTGTTGCTTCACTAATGGGGGGGGGGAGAGAAAGGAAATACATTTTTAAGTGCCCCAAAAGTTTTTAAATTGAGGCAACATTTAGTTGATCAGACAGCATAAGCCCTGTACCTGTTTGGTACGTGGTCCTGCAGGAAATACCCGGATCAGATGCCACAGATCTGAACAGAGGCATTTTTTCAAAAAGGCCCAGGGACATCCCAGCAAGGAACATAGGAAGACAGGTGCACAGTCAAGTCCCTTGGGTTATCGGGGCACCTCATAGATCTAAGTGAGAAACTGCAGCTACTCTGACCTCCAGCCTGCGTATTAAGCTCCAACCTAATGCCATCCCTTACTCTCCATTTATGATGCCACGCACGTTTTCACCTGCCCTTTTGAACCAGAAGCCACTTTTACATCCACACGTTCCCGGGTACTATTTTCTCTGCCCTGCTCGAGTGTGTGTGTCCCCCCCGGCTCCCCCCCCCCAGCCTCTGGCGACACCTGGGATGGGAGTGCCTGGAACGTCTCCTCTCCCTCCGACACAGAACACAGGCCGCTTTTCAAACCTCGCCCGCCCCAGCCTCCGAACGCCTCCCCCGCCCGCCCTGCGCCCGGCCGTTACCGGTGAGGTGCCGGAGCGAGGTGCCGTGCGCCCACAGACTCAGCACCTGCTGGACCGACAGGTTGATCATGCTGCTGTCCCCCGCCTCCGCCTTCATCCCCGCCGCGCTGGTGGAGGAGGCGGCGGCCTGGCCGGCTCCGTCGTCGCTGGGCCGCCTCCCGGCGAGTCGCGGCTGGCTCCGCCACCAGTCTCGGAGAAGGCGAGGCCGGGCTCCCGAGGGGACGCTGCGGGCCGAAGGGGCGCGGATGGGGTGGGCTCCCCGCGGCGGGGGAGACATCGAGGACGGCAGAGGGACGAGCCAGGAGGCGGCGGCGGCGGCCCTCGCTCTCCGCTTCTCCAGCGGCGGGACGCGCGCCGAGGCCTCCCTCAGGGCTGGCAGGTGCGGAGAGCCCCGCGGTTTGGGGCCGACGGGAGGAAAGGAGACGGAGGCAGTTGCCGGGCGGCGGCGGCAGCAGCAACGGCCATCACCGCCCCCTTCCGAAGCCGCCTTCTCACGGCCTCCTCAGCTGCGAGGGGAGCGCGAGAGGGGGAGGTACCCGCGCGAGGCGCCAATGGGCAGCAACCGCCTCTTTTTCCCCCCCTCACAGGCCGGACGGCCGACCAACGGCTACTCGGCGCGTGCTTGAGCACGAGGCCCCACCTCCAGCCAGCCTCCCCCGCCCGACGGGACACGTGCGCGCGCGCGCGCCACCTTCAGCGAAACAGCGCGCGAGAGAGAGACACGGCTCCTCCTCTCCCCAACCAGGCGAGTAGGACGCACGCGTACCAGCCAATGAGGGAAAGAAGGCGAACTGACGTTAGTCGGGCGGGGCTATTCGTTATATAGTCAGTTGTGGGCGGGGTTTCGGAGGGGGACAGAGACGCAACCGGTCTCAGGTTTCCTTTCAGGCGCTGTTATCTGTAAGCCGCGGTGTTACCTGTCATCACCGCTCGGAGCAGCCGCCGTTTCCCGTTTTAACACTTCGCCTGCCTGCCGTTTGATTTACCCTGACGCGAATCTCGTCAGGCAGTCAGAGCTCGTGGGGCGGACGGTCGTCTCGCGCGCTGCGTTAACGCTAATGGTGCATTTCTTGCCCCTCCCCCCCTTCCAGTAATTGTCAGGATCTCCTCCTGCTTCCTCACAATCAGCAAATCAAGTACTCGAATCCATCATCATGAAGCGAACCATTTCGCAGACTGTGATCCTCTTAACACAGCGCTTCGTCTCCCAAAGGTTGACCAGCCAGGCAGATGCTGTGAAAATGCGATCTGTGCAATAAGGATGCTGCCTTGTTTGTCCTCAAGTATCCAGCTATCAGATTACACTGCCTGTAATCATGAAGGCTCCATGCGGCTTACCATATCTGATATGGCAAATTGATTGAAATAATTTCTATATGCCTCCTAAAGTTACCATGGCTGCGTCCAACAACTTAGAACAATCTTTAATAAACATAGTACATGTGGCCCAAAGGAGCTTCAAGAGGCTCTTCCATCTCTTTGATTTTTATGTGACCAAAACTCATAGCTTTCAACTTTCAGATTTGAAAATAAGGGATCAGCAGCCTCACCTGTCCTGGGGACAGTCTACGGGATATCTAACAATCCCGGATAGCAGTGGGAAGCAGCGGGAAATGGTGCTGGAATAAGGGGATTTCCCGCAAAAAAAGGGAAGGTTGACATCTATGACAAAACTCTAATAAGAGAAAGTAGCCTAAGGGAAAAGTTTGAAGATGGTTCCTTGTGTAGGGCCTACTTGGCCTTTTTAGCTAATCCAGGGATCAAGGGCAGTGTGACCCGTAAAACTGTTGAGTTTTGAACATTCTATATTAATGAATTATAAGACCACTAAAAGCACAGTGTTTAGTATTTATAAAATTCTTATGGAAGCATATTTTGGACATGTTTGATGCTTCTATGGGAACAAAAGTTGGAACAATGATTAGAGTTCACTGTGGGAAAAGTCCTCTTTCCACTCACTTTTAGTACAGTACAGTATAGAGAAATCTTGCTGAAATTACCACACAGGTGGTACTTGGTGCCACTCACATTGTCATATATAACCCATGGGTTCTTCCTGCTGTGCTGGGGGAAGCTGCCAAGTAGCAGGCACAAGTGGGGCTGCAATAGTTAAGTGTTGAATACTCAAGGAAATTGAGGCAATAGTCCAACAGCACATCTTGCAATCCCCAAATCTAGCCCCAATGAATTTTATTGATTGATTGATTGATTGATTGATTGTAAGGATCAGAGTATAAGGAAATGTTCATATGTTGATAGTGGCAAGGCCTACTATTGCAAGGTTTGGGAAATATTTACTAGGAATAGTATTCTACTAGAATAGCACTTGCTAAAGGTAAAGGTAAAAGGTAAAGGTACCCCTGCCCGTACGGGCCAGTCTTGCCAGACTCTAGGGTTGTGCGCTCATCTCACTCTATAGGCCGGGGGCCAGCGCTGTCCGCAGACACTTCCGGGTCACGTGGCCAGCGTGACAAGCTGCATCTGGCGAGCCAGCACAGCACACGGAACGCCGTTTACCTTCCCGCTAGTAAGCGGTCCCTATTTATCTACTTGCACCCGGGGGTGCTTTCGAACTGCTAGGTTGGCAGGCGCTGGGACCGAGCAACGGGAGCGCACCCCGCCGCGGGGATTCAAACCGCCGACCTTTCGATCGGCAAGTCCTAGGCGCTGAGGCTTTAACCCACAGCGCCACCCGCGTCCCTATTCTAGCACTTGCTAGAATACTGTTATTGTATGGTGTGGGATACAGCTTTATTTTAAAAATGGATGTATAAACTGAGGGTTATACGAGGTCAAAACAAGTTAGATAAGTTTTGCAGTTTGATTTAATTTTGTAGACTACATCAGTAGAAAAGAACATAGGCAAGCCTTGCCACCAGCAGACAAACGAAGTTGGTTGCAGTATTAAACTTATTTCATCCAATATGGTAACTCTGGTTTTGATGATCCCTGTGTCTTTTCCCAACCTTCTGAAAAAGCATTGTATTGATTGGAGTACGTTTTGTTGTGTACACCTTTAACATTGCTGATTCTAAATATTGTTGGAATTCTTCTAGATTTTCCCCGGCTAATTTTACTTTATTTTATTTTTCTGATATATCTAATTTTGCTTTAAAATGAACTATTGTTTATATTATTTTGCTTAGTTTATGTTTAAGACAAAAAAAATATATTGTGCCAAATGTTAAAGCCTAATTTCTTTATTAAAATAATTAAGATAATCCATTAAAATGCTTTAAAGACCATCGGAGTATAAGAATTTTTATTTGCCATATCTAAGGAACAATAAAAACTGTTACATCATATGAAAGGCCCAGTAAGGCCTTAGTTAATAGATAAGGTTTTATTGTCCTACAAAATAGTCTGTTGATAGACATGTGTGCTATCAATTTGTCTAGCACTTAAAAAAACAACAACCTTATTAGCTACTGGCTATCTCCACAAGTTGAAGCAAATTAATCGTTAAGCAATATTTACTTTTGCTTGCCTGGGAGTTAAGATGGGATAAAAGGTGCAAAATCATGATGAGACTGCTTCTCAATACACCTTTTCACTGATTTTCAAAGCAAATAGACATTATCGACAGAATTTTACAGGCTTACCCAGAATGTTATCTTGCTTGATTGCCAAAGCTAGAGATGCAAGGACAGAAAAATAAATCTAGCTAATATATTTTTGCACTTAGTGCAGATTTGTGATCTGCAATAGCACAGGGCTGGTGGTGGCATTTGTAGTGTGCCATGCCCATGTGGATTGTGAATGTGTGTGTATAAACATTGTGTAATATCACAGATGAGACCAGTAGTTTGACCCATTTTTTTACAGTGCAATTGACAAGCTTGCATGTGGGTGTGTTGGTTTGCCAGGTGCTATGCAGATTCGCAGGGGCGTAGCCAGAGGGTGTGGCAGGGGGAACTGCTCCCCTAAATCAAGTAAATAGATAAGATTACTTAACTAATTGACCAATTGCAATGCAGATAACTTAGTTCTCCACCCCATAACATAATAATAATAATAATAATAATAATAATAATAATAATAATAATAATAAATTTTATTTATATCCCGCCCTCCCCAGCCGAAGCCGGGCTCAGGGCGGCTAACAACACTAAAATAGTGCAACATTATAAAACATCATAAGAATTAATTAAAATCAAAATTGATGGCAACCATAAACTAAAGTATTGTAAAGATTGCCAAAGGAGGGAGTCAGGCTGTGCCCTAACCAAAGGCCTGGTGGAACAGCTCTGTCTTGCAGGCCCTGCGGAAAGATGTCAAGTCCTGCAGGGCCCTTGTCTCTTGTGACAGAGCGTTCCACCAGGTTGGAGCCGCAGCCGAAAAAGCCCTGGCTCTAGTTGAGGCCAGCCTAACCTCTCTGTGGCCTGGGACCTTCAAGATGTTTTTATTTGAGGACCGTAAGTTCCTCTGTGGGGCATACCAGGAGAGGCGGTCCCGTAGATACGAGGGTCCTAGGCCGTGTAGGGCTTTGAAGGTTAAAACCAGCACCTTAAACCTGATCCTGTACTCCACCGGGAGCCAGTGCAGCTGGTATAGCACCGGATGAATGTGATCCCGCAGTGAAGACCCCGTAAGGAGTCTCGCTGCGGCATTCTGCACCCGCTGGAGTTTCTGGGTCAGTCTCAAGGGCAGCCCCACGTAGAGCGAGTTACAATAATCCAGTCTGGAGGTGACCGTCGCGTGGATCACAGTGGCTAGGTCAGGGCGAGAGAGGTAAGGAGCCAACTGCTTAGCTTGGCGGAGATGAAAAAATGCCGCCTTTGTTATAGCTGCAATCTGCGCCTCCATGGAGAGGGAGGTATCGAAGATTACACCCAAACTCTTAACGGACGGTGCTGGCACTAATTGCACCCCCGCAAGAGATGGGAGTTGCCCCCTCAATCCCATATCGTCCCGTCCCAGCCAGAGGACCTCTGTCTTCGAAGGATTTAACTTCAACCGGCTCCCACGTAACCATCCAGCCACAGCCTCCAAGCATCAGTGTGTCTGGGGCCGAGTCAGGATGGCCATCCATCAACAGATAGAGTTGGGTGTCATCAGCATACTGATGGCAGCCCAGCCCAAAACTCCGGACAAGCTGGGCGAGGGGGCGCATAAAGATGTTAAAAAGCATCGGGGAGAGAATCGCACCCTGAGGCACTCCACACACCAAGGAGTGGCGGGATGACAGTTCCCCCCCAAGCGCCACCCTCTGTCCCCGACCAGAGAGAAACGAGCGCAGCCATTGAAGGACTGTGCCCTGGATCCCCACGTCGGCGAGGCGGTGGTCCAGAAGTTCGTGATCAACCATGTCGAAAGCTGCTGACAGATCTAGAAGAATCAGCAGCCCCGACCCGCCTCGATCCAGCTGTCTACGAAGATCATCTGTTAGGGCGACCAGAGCCGTCTCGGTCCCATGACCAGCGCGGAAGCCAGACTGGAATGGATCCAGAGCCGATGTTTCATCCAGAAACCTACCAAGCTGTTCAGCAACCGCTCTCTCAATCACCTTGCCCAGGAATGGAAGATTCGAAACTGGGCGGTAATTGGATAGATCTAAGGGATCTAATGATGTTTTCTTTAAGAGCGGACGCACCACTGCCTCCTTCAGTTCCCCTGGGAATGTCCCGGTGCCAAGGGACAAATTGATGATATCCCCCAGGGGGGCCCGCACCTCGTCTGGACACGCTCTAATCAGCCAAGACGGGCACGGGTCGAGAGG